CAGCCACATACACCAAAGCCAGCGGGTTTGAGTCTGGCCCAGGCCTGCTAAAAAACAAAGACAACTGCAACCAAAGAAAAAAAAAAGAAAGAAAGAATAGAGCCAGCCTTTTTGACGGTGCCTGTAGTCCCAGTTACTTGGGAGGCTGAGGCAAGAGGACTGCTTAAGCCCAAGAGATGGAGGTTGCTGTGAGCTGTGATGCCACAGTACTCTACCGAGAGTGACAGAGTGAGACTCTGTCTAAAAAAAACACCTTACTAGGATTTTTATTGAGATTGTATCTTTTGAAATCTGTTAACATGAGCTTCATGATCCATGATTAATTTTAAAAAGGTTTCATGTGGATTAATCAATTGTCATTGAGTACAATAGTGTACATCTGTCACTTAGGCCATGTGTATTAACTATACTGGTTAGGTTATCTATATATCATTTCCAGGTTTTTTTCCTGCTTATTCTATCAGCAATTAAGAAAGGTACACCTAAGTCTCACATTAAGATTGTGCATTTGTCTATTTCTACTGTGAGTTCTTTTAGTTTTTGCTTTCATTTGAAGCATATATACAACCCTGTAGTGTACTGACTTTCTTTATTTCTAGTACTGTTTCTTCCTTAAAGTCCACTTTGTTGAATACTAATACTAATAATACATCTTTTTCATCCTTCTATTTTCAGGCTTTCTGTGTCTTTGAATTTTAAAATTGTTAAGTAGCATCAGATTGGTTCTTTGATCAAATTCATTGATAACAGTCTTTTAATTTTAGTACTTAGTCCATTGAAACTAACACAATTAGTGATCTAATTGGGTTTGTAGCTACCATCTTACTATTTTCTTTATGACCTCTTTTTCTTCACTTCTTGCTTTCTTTTTGGATTAATAAAATGCTTTTATCATCTCACTTTTTTTCCTTTCATCAACTTTTTAGTTAAAACAGCACTTTAACTGTGATCTGACAGGAGACGGAACTCAGGCAGTGATTACTCCAGTGATGAGGAGTGACTGTAAATACAGATGAAACTTCCCTCACTCACCAGCTGCTCACCTCCTGCTGTGTAGCCCTGGTCCCTAACAGGCCACATTCTAGTACTGGCTACTCCTCATGGCTTGAGGGTTGGAGGCCACAGAGGCTTGTGGAAATACGCTCTATGATGTTCACACAACAACAAAAATATTGCCTAACAATGCATTTCTCAAGACAGACATATTCCCATGATTAAGGAATTTATGACTGTATAATTCTTGGGGCTGAGTTTTCCAAATTTTTGTTTCAACCATTTCTATACCTCTGCTTTTCTATTTCCATCTTTCAGACCCTTCTAACTAAAAAAGAATAACAACAAATGTAATTGGCATAAAATAGGACGAAATTTCTCAAAATACAAAAGCATACACTTGTACATACAGATGCCTGCAAAAGAGAAGAAACTTTAGATTACAAAAGGCTATCCAAGGGCGGCACCTGTGGCTCAAGGAGTAGGGCGCTGGCCCCATATGCCAGAGGTGGAGGGTTCAAACCCAGCCCCGGCCAAAAACCGCAAAAAAAAAAAAAGGGCTATCCAAGATGTCACAATTCTTTAACTATGTTGGTGAAGACAAGATAATTTTAAGGTGAGATTTTTGTGCCAACATGAAACTCAAAATTACTGCATATAATTAGAACTACAACTAGAAAATAAAAATTAAAAGAAAAGCATAATTTTACAGAAATTGAATTCTAAATCCAGTGCATGTGTATTTTGAAATCCAAATATCCTTACATACAAAAAACTTATTTTTCAATGATATGCTATAAACTTCACAGTTCTAAAAGAATTGTCCAGGAAACTATTTCAATATTCTACCTTTCTGTATAAAAACTAAACTTTCAAGTCACTCATTTTTTTTTATTAAATCATAGCAGTGTACATTAATACTATCATGGGGTACAGTGTACTGTTTCTATATACAATTTGAAATACTTTCATCCAACTGGTTAACATAGCCTTCATGTTTTTTTCTTAGTTACTGTGTTAAGACATTTATACCGTACATTTAGAGAGATTCACATGTACCCTTATAGGATGAACCATAGGTGTGATCCCACCAATCACCCTCCCTCCACCTACCTTCCCCACCTTCTCCCCTCTCCCCATAAAACATTTCAATACTTAAATACTCAACTGGAATCAGTATCAATTCATTTTAACTCATAGGTACAGTAAATAATATAAAACAACATTTTTAACGTTAAAAGTAAGTCACATCCTCACCTCCCACATCAACCTGTAATCCATATTTTCATCCAAGTCTTCAGGCATTCTCTTCTCTCCAGCAAAGGGTCCAAACTTTTCACCCTGAGTAGCAAGTATTATACAGAAAAAGGATCAGTACAATTTTCAAGTTGCTAAAATAAACCATTTTTCTCTTCTGGATTTTTTTTCCCCAAAACTTTTGCACCCAATGATTTAAACTCTTTCAAGATACTAATTAACACAAAATGTTTACATATTTAAAATCCAGTTTAATCTGTTTTGAACCTAAGACCCTAAATCTACATCATAGGAGCCTACATATAAGGGTTAAATTGCTCAACCTTCAAATTCTGACAAGGCACTGCCCTTCATATGTTTCAATCCTCTTTAGAGCCTCTGGCAAGCAGTCTTTAAAAAGCAGTGAGTTTTGCTTGACTTGAGAGACAAGCCCACCAGGCAGAAAATCACCTGGTTTCCATAAAAATCATAAATTCATTTCTATTGTGAACAAGAAAGAAGTAGGCTTGTCATTCTCAAAGGCAGACTGTTCATAAATAAACTTTAAACTCACCTGTCAATCTTTCACACTGCCAAGTGGGCACACTTCAAACCAGGGTTTCACCAAGTGTGTGCTTTGTAGCCCACCTACATGAGAATCACCAGATGATGGCTTCAAAACAGAATCCTGTCTGGGCTTTGTTAAAATCAGAATATGGGAGGGGGGTGTGGGAGCTGCATTTTGACAATTGACAGGTAAGAACCACTGGCATAGCCCCTAAGCACCCTGAGTGGCTGGGTCCCTGTAGTTTGTCCTGCAGGGACTTACAAGGACATATACAAAGGATAAGCCACACTCTTCCTCCAAAGTGACCAATGCAGGCACTACAGAGACAGAGGGAGTTGATCATGTCTCCATGACCAACCAAACATTCTACAGAAATGTGTGCAGAGAAGACACTTATGCCTTTGTGAGCACCTTCAAAACTGCCTAAGACCATTTTTTAGCAGAATCCCCCCTTCACACATTTTTTAACAGAATCCCCCCTTCTCTTTTTCTACTCCCCATGAGGCAGTAGATAAAATAACAACAACAACAGAATCTCCAGGGAAACTTTTGATGAACATTGTTAATGGAAAAAAATAACCACCAATGTAATGTTTCAAGAAATATAATTACTTAATGAACAACAGAAAACCCAACTCCTGGGAACAGTAACATGTTAAAGCTTCAAGAAATTACAAACAACTAACCCAGCCCCGTCATTTTACAGATGAAGGAAAGAAGTCCCGAGAAGCCATAAATAATGGCAAAGCCAGGAAGACCATGCCTTTAATGTTAAGGGCAGAAAATCCCTACAGGGATTCCTCACATCATGACTATAATTGTAAATAACTTAAACACAGGCCTGGCAATAAAACAGGGAGATTGCTGGCTATTTATAATGACACTGGGGATATTCATACACAGGGAACAAATTCAGGAGAAACTGGAAGCTTGCTTTGCTACAATCCTCTCATGCCTTACTTCATATTGAAATGGGCACTCAAGATCACATCTCAGACACAACAGCCCCAAAGATGGTTTCCTTAAAAAGCAATCAGTTCTCTCCATAGATGGGACTTAACCAGTATTTGATAGTGGTTAAGAAATGCTCCATAAAAATGAAAGAAAATAGGAGAGAAATTAATATTTACTTAAGCACTACATGCCGCACTCCCAATTTAACGACTAAGAAAACTGAAGCTCAAAGAGTTTATATCAGTTGCTTGATAGAGGTGAATCAGCTAACAATGATCAGAGATGGAATTAGGAACCAGTGATTTATTCTGAGTGGACAGGTCAGGCACCTTCCACTTTACCAAGCCACCACTCAAAATCGTGACAGATGGCCATATGACTCAATGCCAAGGCAGCCTGCTTGGCCCAGCTTTCCACTGACTATAATTTAGCAATTACCTGGGCTGTGCCTTGCTCAGTGTAGACACTCAGTGCACTAACCACTAAATTGAAGAAACTGAGTGAACTGACATAAAAATAATCTAGAAAACAGACCAAAAAAGTATGGTATGTTATTTTGTAATAAATTTGAGGATTTGATGTTAATGGATATAGTTCAACTTTTGGTCCACACTGCCATGGCCTTTATCAACTACGGCAGAAGGTAACAATAATCTGAGTACACACATTCCAATGTAACTGATCTACCCAAGCCAAACAGTCAGTTAAGACTCAGGAGAAATCTGGAGGAAAAAAAAATTGAATCTATCAATTCAACAGTATTCAAAGGACTGAAGAAGGGATGGAATCCTAAATAAATGCACTGGCATAGGGGAAAAAAGCCTGCTTGGATGCAGGCCTAGAAGGATTATTAAAGGACCTAATGCTTTGAAAATTCAAATTAAGAATCAGAATGCTGATTTGAAAGCTTCACCAGTAATGGTTAGTCCCAATCAACTCAAACCACTAAATTATAATGAATACTGGCTTTTAAGTTTTTGTGCCTCTCTTAGTACGACATACATTTTACATTTCACCATAGCACATTCACACATACACATGTTAACACATCCATATAAAATTAAAATACTGTATATATTTTTCCGCGGCACCTGTGGCTCAAAGGAGTAGGGGTGGTTCAAACCCAGCCCCTGTTGTCTCCATTATATAAGCAGCACTTTCCTAAAATTCTGACTATAATTTTATTTTTAGTTGCTAACCATTTCCTAAGGTGATTCTAACTGTAGCATAAGCTTATTATTCCTCAGTGGGCTTCAAACCTCCTTGGATAGCACACCAATGAGTAACTTTGGGGCACCTGCCCTACCTATAATTATTTTTTCTTAGTGGAATTGTATGAAGTTGCCAATATTTGACCACTTCAAGCTACAAAATGAATGGTTTCCACATAATTCATCATTAATTGTATATGTGCATTAGTATATTAAACACCTAAGGGTAAGTTCATAATAAATGATATGAAGAAAACACATATACTTCAAATAATCTTGAAAACTTCAAAAATTTCTGGCTGACTTCTGTTATTATTGGTTTTTTTTGTAATAAAGATACTAAAAATCTTATTACTGGCAGCAGGAAACGTGGCAGCTCTTCCATTTTCTTGCTTTCATTTGCGTCTGCATTATTAAATTACCTTTGCTCTCTGATTTCTTTTCAATAAGCATCTTAGAATTCTTCCTTTGTAACTAGGGTCCACCATCTCTAACACTTACAAGTTAGGCAGTGAGGCAACACAACATCAGACACCCATACATTAGGGAAGAGGCGAGTTGCAAAGGCAGGCCCACCTAAGTTTTTTCATTCTACAACTTAAATGTTGTTGTATCACAATGTGGACCCAATGCTGCCAAATAATGCAATATCTAAAAACTCAAATTTGCATGTGAAAATGCTACTTTTTTATATTGGCAATGAATTCCAACTTTTCAAAACTGTTCAGGTTTAATAAAATGTGACTTCAAGACAAACTCAACACATGTAAACAAAATTGTCTGACTCAAACTCACTTCTCAGACTGATCCAATGTCCAGCCTACAGTGGTGATTCTTTGTTTTTAGTCAGACTATTTCTGAACAAAGCAGATAATTAAGCCATTCAATCTGCCACCCATGGACTAGACAATAACTTTTAATAAACAAAAAAGTATGATTGCAGGGTGGTGCCTGTAGCTCAGTGGGTGCTGGCCCCATATACCGAGGGTGGCGGGTTCAAGCCTGGCCCCGGCCAAACTGCAACAAAAAACGGCCAGGTGTTGTGGTGGGTGCCTGTGGTCCCAGCTACTCGGGAGGCTGAGGCAAGAGAATTGCTTAAGCCCAGGAGTTGGAGGTTGCTGTCAGCTGTGACGCCGCAGCACTCTACCTAGGGCAATAAAGTGAGACTCTGTCTCAAAAAAAAAAAAAAAAGTATGATTACAAAAATGTGAGCAACTTTCTCTCATTTTGCTTCACATTATTAGGAAGAAGGTAAAAGCAAGGTTTACTGCAGATATTTCTATTAGAACTGTGGGAAAAGCACTAGCTGAGGTTTCATGGGATGTGGATTCTCCCAGTTCCTGCTTTGTTAACTGACTGCACAAAACTTCTGAATCTCAGTTTCCTCAACTATAAAACTTAGGGATTTGAAATTAGAATAATTTGAGCATAAAAGAGAACAAAGCACATCAACAAATTCCATAAGGATATTGAGAGAAAGAAAAAAAATGTTTTTAAAAGCCTCATCTGCCATCATTACGGGATAATAGCTTGTAAGAATCAGTAGAGGGATAGAAGCATTCTGTCCTGCCTTTTCAATAGTAAGCACAGTTCAGGGTAACCAGACAGCAGCAACTGAAGATACCAAGCTCTTCACTACAGGGAAATCCTTTTAAATAAAGGGGAATTATCTGAGTTAGCAAATCATCATTTTGAAATCCTAATAATATAACAGATTTGGGCACATATTATCCGTGGAGGCAAAAACTACTAGGTAGAAGTAGTGAAAAATACATCCACATACTGTCAGCTCACAGATTACCTGCTAGGCACAGAGGGAAAGCAGCACCTTCACAGTGAAATTACCTTAAACCAGTGTCAGCGTCACTAGGCAGCGGGGAAGTGAGATGTGCCCCCATGATAGGGCAGTACAAAGAAAACCAGCATCACTCCATGAGGTATTCTTGCCAAAAATATTTATACTACATATCTAACTTCCAGATTACAGGAAATACAGAAGATAGAGGAGTTAAATAATGCCCTGGGGAAACAATCAGACAAATCCAGATGTGTAATACTCTACAAATGATTGGCTTCATCTCTTCAGAAAACCACTGTTATTAAAGAGAGGAGGCAGGAGAGAATTTAAAAAGGAGATTTAATAGATACAACTAAATGTAACATGTGGCCCTTGATTGGATCCTGGTTTAAAAATAAATAGCTATAAAAACATTTTGGAAATAAATGGAGTAATTTAAATGTGGGCTGGTACTTGCATATATTAGGAAATTACTATTATTTCTGTTGGATGTTAAAATGATATTAAGGGCCACAGTGGAGGCCCTGGCAGTGGAGGCCATTCACTGTCTATGGCAAAAATATCCTGCTTTGTA